TATATATATATATATATATATATGTAATTATATATAGTTAGATTTTACTGCTCGTCGACGTATCTATATAGGTGTTTATGCATATATTTATTTGTATGTGTATTGTGGCCCCAGCTAGGCAAGAATGAAAATAGTGTGTGTGTGTGTGAAATGGTATATGTAAGGTATGAGCGTGTGTGTGTAATGGTATATATATGTAAGGTGTGTGTGTGTATGTGTGGAATTGCCAGCTGGAGACGCATTAGACTGCCTATAAGCTAGTATTTAACTATAACTCCTCCCTCCGTCGATGTGTTAAAGAAAGTGTGTGTGTGTGTGTGTGTGTGTCTGTGTCTATTGGTGTGCATAATAAAAGATTTCAATTTCATTGGCCAGCCTCTAGGGCTGTGGCTGCTTCTACTCCTGATCCTCAACACTTTCCTCCAACTGTTCAAGCTCCTCCTGTTTAATAACAACGTAACGCATTGGCGGTGATATTAGCACATGTTCCTGCTGCTGCTCATCCTCCTCCAGCTGCTCCTCCTGCTGTTCCTCCACAAAATCACATTCGAGTGCTCTATCAGATCTTTTGCGCCGACGCCGCCAACTGCCATCACGTTGCAGCCACCTCTACTTCATGTCGCGGCGGCGCTTGATGCTGCCATCGCACGTGGGCAGATGACGCTGAAGGAAGCCCTCAAAGACGAACTTGCGGCCGCAACGCTCACAGCTGAACTCACGCTTCTCCTCGACCTGCTGCTTGTGCTGGCGCAATGCCTCGGCATTTGAGTATTTGTCGCGGCAAGCGTCGCAGGCATAGCGCCGCTTCACCTGGCCCACATCGAACACAACGGTAAAGTTCTGCGAGCAGAAGGAGCAGGTGAACTCCTTGACGACCACCTTCTTGCCGCCGTGCTGAGCGGCCAATGCCTCCGCCTCGGCCTCCAGCTTGTCCTGATGCTTGTGCGAGTCCATGTGCGCATTGTATTTGGCCTCGTCGACGAACTTGCGATAGCAGCGCGTGCAGCGATGCGGCTGTTCGCCTGTGTGACGCATCATGTGCTCCTTGAGGTAGGCAACCGAATTGAAGATCTTGCTGCACACCTTGCACTTGCGGTCCTCGGCAGAGACCTCGTTGCGCTGGCGCAAACAGGCGCGCATGTGTAGCTTCAAGGAACCGGCGGCACTGTAGCAATTGCCGCAATTGGGACAATAGAAAGTCTTATTGCGTGACTGCGAATCGGATTCAGGACTGTGATCGATGGTGCCCTCGAAGACAATCGAGCCCATTTCATCCTCCTCCTCTTCCTGCTCCTCGCCCTCTTCCTGTTCCACACCCACTATCTCGTCCTCATCGTGCTCGATGCCCTCCCCATCATCATCCTCCTCATCTTCCTCTTCGTCGGCCATATTGGGCACAATGTGCAATATGGTGTGTGTGCCATCTCCCTGCTCAATGGTCTCCACCTCCTCCACGGTGCTGTTCTCCACCAGCTGCTGCAGCGTGACGGCATGCCCGTTCTCATCGATTATCACCTCCTGAGCATTGGCCAGCGCCTCGTGATCACGATCGCTTAGGGTCACCACAGCCGTTTCAGTATCGTCGTCCTCAGTGGTCGTATAGGCATATGTATACTGTGTCGTCTCCCCGTTCCCATCTACGTCGTCAGTTTCATGTTGTATGATAACTGGCACAATTTCCTCCTTGGACGGTGCATCTGTCGGGCTGGACAGCGTAGTGTATTTCATACGCTTCGAGTTCATATTGCCGAGTATATATGTATATACTAATATATATATATATACTATATATAATTATGTATTTCTGTATATTTAGTTAATTAAAGTCAATTGTCGCTCCGACTTCGTTGCAACAAACAAAATTTTTTGTTTTTTTAATGCGGCGCGGCGTGGCGTACCTCTCTTCCAGCACACCAAATTTTTTTCTTTTTCCCTTTTTATTAGTGTGCGTGTGACAGTTGTAAGTTGCGTTTTGCAGGAAATCGTTTTCGCATGAATTGCGGTCTCCGGGTACTGCAAAATATTTGTAAACAATTCGCTAGTTGGTAAATTACTTTTGGCGCGTTCAAATTATACTTTTTTCTTACAATAGTCAACACTCTTTCGCGACTTTCTTGCCACCAAGTTTAATTCTTCCACTTCAATATCACAATTTTCGTCGATTGTGGCAACATCGGCAAACAATGGTCACACTGGCTCGAATGTTGCGTAGTTTATGGTATATATCGTCACAACGCTAAGTTGGCTGCAACACGAATTTTACGCATACGTTACGCATTACGGACTTACGTTCGACATTTGGTCTTACGTAAATCATCTTACGTGACGGAAGTGCAATAAATTCCATCCATTCAATTGTAAAACAATAATATAACATTTTGCGAGTAATTTAAGACTGACCAAATTATTCTTTTTACAATAATTGTCTTTAAGGCGCCTGAGCGCATGAGCATAATTTTCTTACGTATGCACACTTCAAAAGGTGGCAGCGCTGTGGACTGACAAGCGTTCGCTATGCGCAGCGGCGTCACAACTGTTGTCAAGACCACGGCGCCAGCTTTTGAAATATGTACATCCGCTCCCCCTCTGCACATTGTTTGTTAAGAAAAACCTTAAACTTGTAGTTTTATGCGGCTTTTCGCGAGAAATAAACCATTGCAAACAGAATGAATACATACATTTCTATGTATGTATGTAAATTGTTTATAATATGTACCATTTATAATGTATGTATGTATGTATGAATGTTTGCGGATACACGTGTGTGTCAATGTGTATGTGTGTGTGGATGGACTTGCTTGTTGTATGTACATATGTATTTATGAATGTGTGTACATACATATGTTCATTTATGGTTAAACACATTTTTGTCACGTTGCCAAGCAATTCGAAGTTAAGCGCATTTCTGCGCCAATTGTAAATTGAATTAAACTATAAATGGTTGCCACTATTTATAAGTGAAACAAATATTCACACAGAGATACATACATATATGTATATGCATACATATGTATGTAAGTACATACAATATGCACATACATATTTAAATGCAAATTAATATATAGTTTTAGTGCACTTACGGTTCGTATATTTTGCAGACTTTTTGACATCTTCGGCTAATGCGCACAATTTAGAAAAGCAAAAAAAAAGAAGTACACGAATTTCGAAAATTTTGTTTTAATAAAACAGACGTAATAATATGTTATTGTCAAATACTAAAATAAACACAAATGAACTAACATGCCTACATGTACGTGTAAGTTTGTATTACGTAAATGATCATTTCGATCTCAACATGCCTGGATTTTTCAATAAGCTCGAATCTTTCATTGTAATTTTTTTTACACACATTTCATCACATAAGAAATATTTTCATTAAGTTTTGCCGATTTTCACAGCTGAATGCGAACAGTCATTTTAAGCCCCATTAAAAATTTTCCACTGTCCCAACGATAAGTTTTTGCATATGTACATATAATATATATGTACATACATATACATACATACATATCTGCTTGAATATGAAAATGTGGTAAAAAGAAAGAAGGAAAAAACGGTCACTTAATTAGCTTGGAAGATCACAAAACGTCATTTGCAGCTTTTTGCACGTTGCAGACTTTGGAGATAAGAGATGTGTGAGAGAGAGAGAGAGAGAGAGAGACAGATAGATGATGAGGGAAAGTGACAGCAGAGGAAGCAGGTGGAAAACAATCGAACTGCGCACATTCAGATACCCTCAGGTGCCAGCGTAAATACCCAACTTAAGTTAAATAAACGTCATCGGGGGCAACACCAAGTGCTACCAATTCATAATTGCAAATTGTTTTCTGAGCTGGCAAATGGCAAATAATATTACAATAAAAAAAGAAAGAAAAATAAAAAAAAATAGTTAAGCGAACTTTGTGTGTGCAGGGCGAGTCAATAGTGCATGCACTTTAAGGTAGAAAGAGAGGGAGAGAGAGAGAGAGAGAGCTTTAGGTTTCTTAGGTTTGTTATTAAAATTCATCAGCTTTAATAGGTAAAGGTTAAAAAAAAAAACATACTATGTATGTATGTACATAGAGATAAAAATAAAAACTAACTAAAAGAAATGAAAATATCGAGTATTTCATTTGATTAGAGTATGATCCACTTTAGCCTTAGAAACAAAACGACTTTTCTGTATAAACTATATAGACATCAATTTTAAGTAAAGTTAGATTAAGAAATCAGCCTAAGGTATCAGCTGCTTTAGCTACATACATACATATGTACATACATTCATGCAAATGTGAACAATTCCATAAGAACTATGTATGTATGTACATATTCGCATGTCTTCAGAATAATGAGAGTTTGAGCATAAATTGCGAAAAATATAAAGACAACATTGAATAACTATACATATGTATATATGTATATATATAATAAATCAAATTTTACTAATTTAGAAAAGAGAAAAACTATTAGAGAAGAATAAAAAACATCGAATTTTCCATTTCATTTGGGTATGAACTGTTTTACGATAGCTATGTATATAAACAGAACAATCTACTTGCCTTTAATATATGTATGTATGTATGTATGTTCTTACATACATATATGTACATATGCAATAAATTTGTTGGTTATAAATAAAATGAAATATAAAATGCAAAATAGATATTTCATACAATAAAGTGGCAAAAGTTTGTATATACGCTGCATACATATCTTGAGAGAATGAGTGAGAGAGATCGATATAGAGGGAAGACAGGAGGCAGAGAAGGAGATGATTCAGAATCAGAACGCGCCAATTCGGTCACGTTTGCAGTTTTAAAATGCAAATAGGCGCTATAAATACAGTACATGCATTCACACACACATATACATATATATATATACATATGTACGTATTTATATCTGGACATTCATACACACAAGCGCACATACATACATATCTTCGTTCAAATTAGTTGCGGCAGGGCGTCAGCGTTTTTAATCTTTCTTCCCATTTTGCTTCATTTCTACCCGACTTTGTTGTTATCTTTCGATTGGCAATTGCATCATAAAATGCAATATTTATTTTGCCATAAACTATTTCTGTGCTGGCATGACTATAGACACTCATCATTAGTTTAGTTTGTGTGCCAGTTGCATTACGAAATATGTACATACATCAGAGATACATACATACATTTGTATGTACATACATATGTATGTATGTATGTACGTAAAGGCGGAGATGACTTAAAACCAGAGCAGCCGTTCCCGTTACTCGATCTGTTTGCCTTTTCCTAAGTGGACACACATGCATGCATACATACGAAGGTACATTGTATGTACGTACGTATACATAAATACATGTACATATGTATCTACGCACGTACATACATAATTAGCATTAAGTCTCCACTAAAATCATCAAACTAATGAAACTCATATGAAAATTTCGTACCTGTGCACATACAAACATACATATGTAGATATGAATGTACATACGTCGTATGTATACATACTTATGTATGTTTGTATGTAGTTGGCCCTCGGTGGAGTGGTACGTGCGAAAATTGCATATTCCGTATCAAATTGCAACATGTCGTCTGGTGGAAGAACAAAAAAATCGAATTTTCTCGTCCAAACTTACATACATACATATGTATGTGCATATGTATGTATGTGTGGAAAGTTTTTGCTATAGGATGTTTTTTTAGCGTATGTGCGTATAAGTATGCGCCGTTATTTATATGGCTTGCTTGCTGGGCTTGGCATAATTAGTAGGGCGTTGCCAGATGGCTGCTTAAGAAACTTTCGTTATGATTTGCATATGTATGCATTTTGGCTACGCAGTGCTTTTGTTGTTGTTGATTTTTTGTTTGTGTTTGTTTTTATTTATTTTTTGGGCAATGCGTGCCCAGACCGTGGGCAAATTTGCCAGCCAATAGTACATACATACATGTGCTCATGTGTATGTAAACAAATGCAAATTTGATGTGCAGTTGTATACATGTATGTATATATGTATGTATGCATGTGTGTGTATGTAAATTAAAATAATGTCTACACATACATATACATACATATATGTATGTATGTATATATGTATGTACATACATACATAAATTTATATTTATGTATATATGTATGTACATACATACATATGTATGTAAATACAATATTCATCTGTATCAGTAGAAGTCCTATTCCTTATGACAAAACCTCATAGATACAAAATTAATTCAATGCTGGATACATTTACATTAAGGGTTCTGAGTTTGTTGTGCGTCTGTGTGTGTGTGTGTGTGTGTGTGTGTGTGTAATTGAAGGGGCGCTCGCAGCCCAAAGGCACACACACACACACGCACATCGAATGGAATTTTCCATGCAATTTTTTTTGTGTAATTGTTCGCAGTTCGTTCAGTTTTTGTTCTATTCAGGCTTAACCCTTATGTGGCTCGCCAACAATATTTGCAATAGGTTAAGCATTTTGGATAGTACATTCATTTGGGAAAATGTAAAAGTATTTGTGGCCCTTAGACCAGTGGAAATCACAGCACATTAGCGCTATTTGTGCCGCTCTGATAATAGCCATAAACTGCACAAAGTCTCCATTAGGCGTGTCTAATTGCTGACCAGAGAGCCAAGGCAGCAGCCACAGCTAAAGCCCAGCAGCTTATGAGCCCACACATGTGTGTATGATACGATAATCCCAAAACAAAACTGGCGGACCAAAACGACCCCCCGGGCATTGCATGGGTTTAATTGCACTCTCGATGCTGTTGCTTGCGATTTTTTTGCTTTTGTGTGTTTGTTTTTGTTTTTGCTGTTTTGCT